TGAACCAGTGGATGGAAGATATTCTCTCTTCTCTTTCTCCATGAGCACTTCCAAATCCCAACCTCTGTCACTCTGCCTTTCAAGTCTTTTTCTTAAAAAGAAAGCTCTTTAAAAGAGTAATTTTAAGAAAATTTCCTTTCATGTGTTGAAATCTTATCTCTCTGCTGCCTTCAGAATACTGTCAGATGTCCTAATAGCATGTCAATTCTTGAAAATGTGATTTTTTTTTTTTTTTTTTTGGACAGGCAGAGTGGACAGTGAGAGAGAGAGACAGAGAGAAAGGTCTTCCTTTGCCGTTGGTTCACTCTCCAATGGCCGCCGCGGCCAGCACGCTGCGGCCGGCGCACCGCGCTGATCCGATGGCAGGAGCCAGGAGCCAGGTGCTTTTCCTGGTCTCCCATGGGGTGCAGGGCCCAAGCACCTGGGCCATCCTCCACTGCACTCCCTGGCCACAGCAGAGGGCTGGCCTGGAAGAGGGGCAACCGGGACAGAATGCGGCGCCCCGACCGGGACTAGAACCCGGTATGCCGGCGCCGCTAGGCGGAGGATTAGCCTAGTGAGCCGCGGCGCCGGCCTGAATATTTTACCTTTCCAATATGAAAATTTCACCTTTTTAAAAGATTTTTCATTTTCATCATATTTGATGAATTTTACATATTTCTCAGGGTTAAATTTTAAGATTTTTTAAAAAAAGTACTTTCGTGTATATGCTTGCTTTTGGTTTATACTTTGTAACTTTGTAGGCCTCCATCCTGTATTAGATTATAGTAACTGCTCCTTGAATTGATTTAAATACCTTTGGTCTTTTCCAGGTGTGTAAATAGGTAATTTAGAGATATTATATCATTCCCTTTATTGAAAAATAACTGCTTGTTGGATATTATTTATAATACTGTCATTTTCAATTTTGAGAACTCTGTAATTGGTGCTTTCTTTTCACTATTCCCACTTTTTTTTTTTTTTTTAAAGATTTATTTGAAAGAGTTACATAGAGAGGCAGAGCCATAGCCAGAGATCTTCCATCCATTGATTCACTCCCCAAGTAGCTGCAACGGCTAGAGCTGAGCTAAGCCGAAGCCAGGAGCCCAGGAGCTTCTTCTGGGTCTCCCATGTGGGTGCAGGGGCAGGATCAAAAGTGGAGCAGCCCGGACTAGAACCAGCGCCCATATGGGATGCCGGCACTTCAGGGCATTAACCTGCTGTGCCACCGTGCCGGCCCCAGGACTAGGTTTAAAATCATGTATCTGGTCCTTGGTTAGCAGCCTTGGACTTAAGAAATGATAAATATGTAGAACCTTCACTGGGATATGGCAGATAGTAAGCACTTGGGATAAGCTGCTGTTTAGTATTCTCTTTCATTCATTCATGACCATAAGCACTTCCAAACCCCAATTGGGTAGCTTTGAATTACCACTTCTGTATACGTTGTCTCAAGTTGGAGGTACTCTGTTCACCCTGGTATATTCTGTCCTATCTTCTCTCCATAACACATGGTATCTCCCATTCGTGGATCCTTCCCCCACCTTCTAGATACAATGCATTGTGTGCAAAGTAGGGACCCAGTGAAGGATGAGTGGTCTTGAAAGCAGCTCAGCAATTTCTCTGACTAGCAGAGGAATGATTTTTAAAAAGCATCCTGAAAGAGTACTGTCTGCAGAAGAGCTATTTGGACACAGTGGTCTTTGTTGATACGGTCTTGGAATTGTAACATGAAAAGTATTTTTTTTTTTTTTTCAAAAGCTCTCTACAGTCATGCACTGACTAGCAGTGCAGTACGTTCCAGGAAAGTGCTGCTGGGAAATTTGTTATTGCATGAATATCATAGATTGTACTGATACAAATCCAGATGACCTGGGTTAATCATATGACGTGAACAGGCGAGGCTCCTGCCAGCATAAGGTAGCATCTTGTTTTACAGTAAACTTTTTTTTTTTTAAAGATTTTATTTATTTATTTGACAGAGTTACAGACAGAGAGACAGACAAAGGTCTTCCTTTTCTGCTGGTTCACTCCCCAGATGGCCACCACGGCCAGAACTATGCCGATCAGGAGCCAGGAGCCAGGTGCCTCCTTCTGGTCTCCCATGCGGGTGCAGGACCCAAGCACTTGGGCCATCCTCCACTGCCTTCCCAGGCCACAGCAGAGAGCTGGACTGGAAGAGGAGCAGCCAGGACTAGAACCTGGCACCCATATGGGATGCTGGCGCCGCAGGCAGAGGACTAACCAAGTGATTAGCCATGGAGCCAGCCCCTACAATAAACTTTTTTTATAAGTAGTATAAGGATCTAATATTATCATTCATTATTCAGCATTATGTAATGTATATGGTTGTATGTGCTGTTCTTTTAGATTGGCATGGCAGTGCAGTGGGTTTGTGTACATGAGCATCACTGTGAACATGAGAGTGATGAGTAGGATTATGATGTCTGTTGTGAGGCAGTGGGAATCTGTCCACTCCATTATAATCTTGTGCCTGATTATCTCCTATGTGGTCTCTTGTCAGCCAAAATGTCATTATGCAGTGCATGACTATTACATTTTTTTAACCTTTTCACATTTGTTTCTTTTTAAAAGAAGCATGTGAGAAGACCACAGCTCTTCAGTGTTGAACACTTTAATCCCGAGGTGGAAGCATCGCTTGGTGAGGACGGATGGGTATGCGCTAATGATAAACTGTTAGTGCCAAGAGGGAAATCCAGGGAGGAGTAGCTGGCTGGCAGAGCAAAGAAGCCATGATAGGGGTTCTGTTCTCAGTTGTTTCACATTCCTGTCCTGAAATCCTTTGCTATTCTCTCAGAGACACAGGAGGCGCACTGTATAAAACTGCTGTATTTTTGTGTTGACATATGTCCTTACCTTGATCAGTTAGGTAAAATTTTATTAGCTTTGTTATTTTAGTAATTCTGGAAAAATTTAGTGAATATATCAGAAGGCTTAGCAATCACTTGTGTACATTGGTAGTTCTAAAATTTGTGGTTCCATTCAATAAATGAATGACTTTTTAATTAAAAAAGAAAAATGAGGGGCTGGCATTGTGGCACAGCCAAGTGGTAGATTGTGATGCTGGTATCCCTTATTGGAGTACCAATGTGAGTTCCCACCACTCTGCTCTGATCCAGTTCCCTGCTAATGTGCTTGGGACACCAGTGGAGGATGGCCCAAGTACATGTACCCATGCCACCCAACTGGGAAACCTGGATGGAGTTCTGGGCTCCTGGCTTCAGCCTGACCCAAGCCACGGCTGTTGTGGCCATTTGGGAAGTAAACCAGCGGAAGAAAGATACTTTGCTATCTCTCCCAATCTCCTTGTCACCCTACCCTTCAAATAAATCTTTCAAAAATATACTTACTTCAGAGCGAGAGAAATCTCTCAACCACTGGTTGGCTACCCAAATGCCTGCGACAGCCAGAGCTGGGCCAGGTTGAATCTGGTATCTGAGAACTCAGTCCAGATCTCCCACATGGGTGGCAGGGACCCAACTACTTGACCCTTCATCTGCTGCCTCATAGGGCATGCAGTAGCAGGAAGCTAGAATCAGAAGCAGAACCAGCATGCCAACCCTAGGTCCTCTCCCTGTGGGATGCAAGCAACTGAATTGTGCCAAATGCCTGCCCCTTGTTTTTCTTCATTAAAGCAGAAGGGGTGGGTGTTCAGTGCCATGGTTAAGACACTGCTTGAGAGGCCTGCGTCACACATTGGAGTGCCTGGGTTCTAGTACCAGCACTACTCCCGATTATGGCTTCCTACTAACACATAACCAGTGAGGCAGCAGGTAGTAATTGAGTCCATTGCTACCATGTGGAAGACCCAGATGGAGTTCTGGGCTCCTGGCTTGGCTCTGCCTGTTGTGCAAGCATTTAGGGAGTGGAATGGGAGATCTCTTGTGTGTCTGTTTCTCTCTGCATTTCGAATAAAAATTTTAAGTAGCAATAAATTGGAAATTCTAAAAATGAAAAAAATCCAAAAAAATGAAGAATACACATAATTCTATCCAAAAATAGACTAATTACTTGCTTACACTTTTGTTTTAGTACCCAAAAGCCATCTAATATTTTAAAAATTTAACTCATTTTAAAAAGACCTTGCTTTGGGAGAAGGGAGATTGCAATGGGTCCAAGTTTATGTACTGAAGTCTACCTAAAATATGTTAGGAGACTTCTGCCTAAGGGATTCCTAGAGAATGAATTGTCCTTTGAAAATGGACAAACTTTGCTTTTTTTTTTTTTCTAAATTGAGATATTTATCACTTTTAGAAATTGGTACCTATTTAGTACTTGTAGGATTTAGCCATTTCCTACTCTGCCACATCTCATTTCAACTGTTGGTTTCCAAGGGCAGATGTGAACTTGAACCTGTAATTATGAAACTCAACAGGAAGTTGATACTAGCAGGGGTTTGTATGGAGGGTTAGGCCTGCTAGTTTTCCATTTCTTAATGGAAGCCAGTGTAGTGTTTTGTTTACAGCTATGCTGTATGTTTCGAAAGCACTTGGAAACTGATAAAATTTGTTGTCAGCTTTTCCCAAAATGTGTGGAAATGTAGGAATACTCAAAGTGATGATCTTATGCTTAGCAATTCAAGAAAAGAAAATAATTCCATGGCTAAGTATGTTTGAGAAATCCATTTTTTTTTCTGCATGATTTCTCAGGCCCTTTATTTACTATGTTAATGTGAATTTCCCCCCAAATTTTTTTGACCAGAAAGTATGCTTTTCATCTATCTTACCATGCAACACACTGCTCCATGATACAGATTACTTTGGTATATAGATTTAATATATATTTGGAATATATCATTTAAATAATATATATAATACACAAAATATTATAGAAGGAATATCTGGACTTTGAAATAGTGTAAAATTACTGCCTCACAATAGGACATCAGATTTGGTCTTCCCCTGTGTTTATTTGGTGATAATGAATTTTCTCTAGGATGTGGACTTGGTTACACTTAAATAAGGATTTGTTTTCAAGGTAATGTACAGATACAGCATTCATTACTTAAATGAATATTCTTTATTGAGGATTGGAAATATTCTACATTTACTAAACTCAGAGGTAGTCATAGCCCTTCCCCAGTAAACTTTATAGTCTTTAGACAATTTGTTCTTTTTAATATGTTCTTAGTATAAAAGAAAGTCACCGAGAAAGTTTGTAAAATCAGCTATGAAACATTTATAGAAAGGGTGGAACAGTTGACATGCCAAAGTGTGAGAAAATGGTTTGTGAACAGTTCAGCATAATATCTGCTTAGTGATATAATGTAAAGGCTATAACAAACCCAAGCTTCTGTTTTAGGTATTGTCAGCGTTCAGGCTCTTTTATACCAATCTGGTCATTGTCATTTTTCCCCATCAAAAGTCATCAAGAAGAAAAAAGGGATCCCTCAAAATAAACAGCAACTGTAGTATTACATAGAATAAAAGCAAATTTCTCAATAAGCAAGTTATCCTGTTGCAATGAGACAATATGCTATGCTTATTTTTTTGTATTCGCTAAGAAAAGATATTTCCAATTCAGCATCAGGTATTTATACTTTCCAAACATACAGCTAACTGATACCATTTTTAGAAACATGACAAATGCAAATTTGTTTGTTAACAAAACATAACCTTGGATTTCTGAGACAGACTTTCAGAAATGTTGAGAAGAGGTTTTTAACATTTGTGAACATCCAACGGCTCAAGTTAAGCACAAAAATCAACACTGCAGGAACATTTCTCTAAAATACTCATCACTTAGATTCACTCACATTAGCATTGATCGTAACTGGAATAGGCACCTGAGAAAGCCATGTTACTTCCTGAGTTCCTTAATTATTATTAATGATTATTTAGTTAACCGATGTTTCAGTTGCAGGTCAATTCTATTTAGGTATTTTTAACATTTTTATTTGAGAGACAGAGGGACAAGTGGGAAGTGTGGGGCAAAAGACGACCTTCAATCAGTATTACATTGCCTTCAAAATAGTTATGCACCTGAGTGTTAATTACACTTCCTCCACTTGGAGGACACCAGCATGGCTGCTCTACCCCTCTTCCAGCAGTCCCAGTATCACCCTCATCAGAAGGCAGAGGTCTTCCTTTTACAGGTAGGGAAACAATTCTCAGTGGATTTGCAGAGGTCTCTTCCACATTGTTCTCCCACTGAAATCTTATCATGTAGATTTCTCCGTAAAAGGAAGCAGGCCGATCCTGAGGAAGGCGGTCAGGCTGGGAGGTATGAGGGGGCCTGGTCTGACCACAGTCACAATTTCCTGGCTGTGTTTTGTTTGTCTCTAAGTGATTTTAAGTTTGATTAAGACAACTTGCTGATTTAAAACAGATCATTTCAGTGAGAAATTTACATTTAGGCTCATGAGCCAATTTAGATTTTAGTTCATGTCCATTTAAAAATTGCTGTTCTAGAAAAGGAAAAATTAGAATGCCCAGTGGAAAAACTGTTTAGGGCTTGATGGTAAATCAAGTGGTCGTCTTTTGTTGTTAAAACTTTTAAGATTTATTTATTTGAAAGGTAGAGTTACAGAGAAGGAGGGAGAAACAGATCTCCTATCCACTGGTTCACTCCTCAAATGGCCACAAGTGTCAGGGCCAGGCCAGGGTGGTAAGGGCCCAAGTACTTGGGGCCTCTTTCGCTGCTCTGCCAGGCTATTAACGAACTGGATCAGAAGCAGAGCAGCCAGGACATGAATCAGCACCCATATGGGATGCAAGCATTGTAGGCATTAGCTTTACCCACTATGCTACAGTGTTGGCCCCAAGTTTAATCTTTATACTTCTATGTATGGAGTATATCAAAATCATTACTGCACTATTAATATTTTGAAGTATATAATTTAAAAAGGATATTCAGGTTATTACCAGATTTTACATAAAGTGGTTTTATACATGTAGAATGAGTTTGGCGTGGAAATGACTCCCAAATGTACTGAATCTCAATTCTTTGTGGTTCTCGGGCATTCACCAAGTACCAAGCCCAGGGTGTGGCTTCACTTTCAGGTAATGTAGAACTTGAATTTCAAACGTGAACCATAGAAACTCACATTGCGTGAGTGATACACAACACTCAGAAATCTGCCATCAGACTTGCTCTTGTTTGATGCTTTTCCCCCTCACGTGTAATGCTTTAAGATAGGTTAACACTTAGGGTAGAGAACAGTTGTTTCAAATTGGATACTATTGATAAAATTTTTGTTTTCAGATTCAAAGAGGTAGCTTGTAGTGTTGTTAATAGGTACATGGTAGCATTACTACAAAACTGAGAATGCAGAGTGGAGTAAAACCACTGTATTTGTTTTTTTTTCTTTAAAAACAATTTGATTGAAAGGCAGAGATTGATGTACTCCCAAATGCCTGTAACAGCTGGGGCTGGACCGGGCCAAAGCCAGGAGCCAGAACTCAATGTGGGCCTCCCTTGTAGGTGGCAGAGACACAAGTACTTGAGCCATCATTACCTGCCTCCCGGGGTGTGTGTTAGCAGGAAGTCAGCATCAGCAGAAGAGCTGGGGTTTGAACCCAGGAACTCTGATTAGGGGATATGGGTGTTTCAACTGCTGCATTAAATACCCATCCTGGAATTTTCTCGATGCGTACATGAAAACACCGACAAAGTGAGCTGGTGATTGCCACCTGAGACCCAACTTCATAAAATGACTTAAAGCCCTATACAGTTTCTGGACGGGACTGGGAGTAGCCAGGTGCTGGAACACTTTGTTCACTCATTCATTGCCTACTGTGTGGAAGGCTCTGAGGATACAAAAATGAGTTTTTCAAATGGACTCCAGCCTTAAAGAGCTCATACTCTATTAGACAAGACACACATGGAAGTACAAGGTCATAATACAGTGTTGTAAATCCAGTAGCAGAGATAACCAGTTTATTTGTGGGAACAAAGAGGAAGGGCCCCAGACTGCCTGGGAGGAAGTGGAGTGGCTTCCTAGGAGAGTTGCAGTTTGAACCGAGTTTTAGTGGAAAAGTGGGAAAGAAAATACAGTGATCAATCAGAGTGGCACTCCAGAGACGGGCACATATCGCATGTGGTATGTTTGGGAGCTACACGCAGCTAACTGTTGGTCTGTTTTACGTAGCCCCCTCCCCCAGTGCTGTGGAGGATGGACCCAAGAGGACACGGCTGGGACCAGGACACAGTACAGCTGTTGCTGTGGTACAGGTGAGATGGGAGGCCTAAATTTGGCGATATTAATTGCCATGGAGGAGAGAGGGTAGAGTTAGTATTTACAATTCACCCCAGTCTTTACTGAATGATGGAATATATGGAAGAAGAAAGAAGTTTTGAAGATGACTCCTAGATGTCCAGTGTGGTGGTACTGGTACAGAGAATTGGAGGGGATCTTCAAAAAGTTCACGAAAACACCTATTATGCTAAAATTATTCATAGATTTCCCAGTCTTTGGCACCAAATTTATCCTTCAATTCCATTTTCAGTGAACTTTCTCGTATAGCAGGAAGAAAGGTTCTAGAGGCAAAACCTGGCTGTTTGACATGATGGGTCCGAGGCACCTATGGGTCGTATCCAGGGGGCGAGTTGGATGTGAGTCTGAAGTTCAGGCAGAGAGGCTGGAGTTGGACGTTTGGTGCCATCATCCTAACTGGCGTCCGGGTGCAGGAAGGTGGGGACACTGGCTCTCGGGGATGAAGCATCATTTACCTGTTGCTTTGAGGATCTGTAGACACAAACTTGTCATTCCATTGGGGCCACCTTTTCCTGGGTCTCTGAGACATGTCTGTCCACTTTCTTGCACTGCTCCTTAGAACATATGCAAAAGTAGATATTCCCAATCCTATGAACATTTCTTTGCTGAGAACTAATGATACTAATATGTGGCACTTAGTATCTCTTCACATATGGCACTCATGGCAAAAAAATTTTTTTCCCTTGTAGGAACATCATTTTTGTGTCTTAAGTTTATCTTTTTACAAATTTCTAAGACTTAATGATTAAGTAAATATGGGCAATACTTGAGAGGCAGGTGTCTTTCACTCATTATTGAGACCAAGTCATTATCACCATCTATTGCTTATCGCAGGATCTGGAAGCATCCACTTCTCTTCTTTGGGAAGACTGGAGTTTACCCAGCTGAGGTCCCACAAAGAGGGGTTAGAGTTGCAGTAACCTGAAGTGGACGTTCCTGATTCCAGGTGATGATGGGGCTTGAGTTTCACATTTTACTTTATTTGGAAAATATGTTCAAGAGAGTCATTAAAAATAGGAACAAACTAGGCTTTGTTGCAGCTGAGTGGCTTGGAAAATTTTTGTAGAGAGGAATCAGTGGGCATGAAGGATCTGATACTTGTGTAGAATCCAGTTGCCCTCGGAATGAAAGTTGAAAATCCTTTTTAAGTGCACTGAAGTTCTGGGATTTCTCTGGAATAACCACCTTTGTGAGGTATGGCTCATGCCCAGGGACTGTAATCTGAGAGGAAACAAGAAACAATTGACTGAGTGATTTCAGATGTTTTGTGGTGCCAACACCGAAAACACTGATACCCACCCCTAAAAGGCAGCCTTTGTGCAATGCATGTAACAATCTGCCAGACCTCCTGTGCTAGCAAGATTCGGTCCTCGTGCTGAATGAGTTTCCCAATGCAGTGTAGACCGGAGTGCTTAATACCATTGCCAAGAATTACAAAATGAAACCAAGGCAGAGTCAGGTACCTTATCTGGTGATGTCAGGAGAAGATAGCAGTGGCTGGATTCCACCAGCATCACGTTGATGGAACAAAACAGTAAAGAGCCGACTGTTCCCCTTTGGCCCTCGTCTGTACTTAATAGCCTCACCAGACATCACCACTACTTATGAGCAGCGTTCCTTTCCTGATTTATTCTGTCCTCCTTGCAGCTGATTGAAGTATGCACAAGTCTGTTGCTTCCTTAAGATTTGATGTTACCTGGTTTTGTTCATAGGACTCTAAACCCTAAACTTTAGCTAGGTTTGTGCTTCTGGTGAAGGAAATGGTCAGGAAAAAGACAAATGCTAAACTAACTATAGGCTGTGACCACTGAGACATGCTTTTGTAACATCTACATAACCACTAAGTGGTATGTGTTTTGGCCATTTCAACTTCCAGAGTCTTCCCTTCCAATCTGGCCTAGAACTAAGTAAAACCTAGATAGCCAATGTGCATTGCTAGACTGGTGGGAAATGAGTCATTATTTTATAAAGGGGTAGCTTATCTATGGGATTGCATAAAATAATTGAGATTCACTGCCTTTTTATATGTAAATATCACAATAGGTAAGAGAAAAATATAGTCTTGTGGGGCAGAAATTCTCATTAAGTGGAAGTTTTCAAGCTCTATGCTTCTCAGTGGGAGCAGGGACTCCTGTGAGGAGGATGAGCAATGGATGAGCCCCACTGCTAAGCACCTCGGGGGCGACCTAGGGAACAGGGAGGCTCTCAATCTTAGTCTCCTTAACTAAACCCAGGCCTTTCATTATGCCCTCAACTGTGAAAATGAAATGCAAAGCCAGTTTTCACTGTAGCAGAGAGGACTGTCTTCTCCCAAGACCAGCTCTATAGAGGACGCTGTTATGGTTGGCATCAGATCCACTAAGAAAAGGAGAAGAATCTTGAATTTCTTACAGAAAGTCTCATCAAAGAGGAAGAGGCAGGGCAGGCTATTCCCCAGTGGTTGGATACTGGCTAACATGTGAGAGTGCCCTGGGTTTGTACCTGGCCCTGGTTTCTGACGCCAGCCACCTAGCAATGTAGGAAGGCAGGAGTGACTCCTCAAGTAATTGGGTCCCTGCCACCCATGTGGGAGACCTGCACAAAGTTCCTGGTTCCCAACTTCTCAGGCATTTGGGGAGTGAACCAATGGGGTTGGAGCATTTTCTGTCTGTCCCTTTGTCTATCTGTCGTTGCCTCTCAAAGTAAATTAGAGGCACAATCTGGTCAACTAAAAAGGTATTTATTCATTTAGTTCCTTCTTGTATACCTACTCAGGCTTATATTAATCCTTGCTTCCTTCCCCTAGAACAATAAATGACTCCGAAATGTCATATGAGAATTAAAAACAAATTTTACTTGCATCATTTGCAAAAAGGGCTGCAAAAATATATTTATCACTTGCTTAATATACTGTTAAAATCTATAGATCCAATTTCACTCACAGTGAATTGTAAGGAACTTGTGCCAATTCATTTTGTAACAGTAGAGATTGTGTTTTATGGAAAGGCTGTTAAATGCTATTCCAGGAAGCTTGCAAGTACTTTTGCTACATTGTTTAATTATACTTATTAATAAGGTGACTTTTTTTTTTTATCATTAAAGGTATCACAAGAAATAGGACTTAGCTTCAGTTTTACAAGTTGATTGCCAGTTAGGGAAAAACATGCATTTTCCTGGTTTGCTCCTATCATTCCTAGCTCCTCCAACCCCTGCAACTTCCAGGTTGGGTGCTGTCCTTCTGTCCTGAGACTTTTTTATTTTCATCTACTTGGGAGGAAGGGAGAGAGAGATTGATTTTCCATCTGCTGGTTCACTTCCCAAATGCCAACAGCCAGGGCTGGGCCTGGCCAGCCAAAGCCAGGAACTTTCTTCAGGTTTCCCATGTGGGTGGCAGGGGCCCAATACTTGAGCTATCATTTTCTGCCTCCAGGATGCATCAGTGGGAACCTGGATTGGAAGAGAAGGAGCTGGGATTCAAACTGGCACTGCAGAATGGGATGTGGGTGTGCTAAACAGCAGCTTAACCCACTGCACCACAACACTTGTCACCAGGCTTATTTTTAGATTCCTTATGAGTTCTATTATATTTTAATGACAATAGCTAGAATTGATTACTTACATTTATTGTATAGGACCCAGGCAAGAGAAGTAGATAATATTCTCCAAATTTGTTGGTTCTGTATGGGCAGATATGTTTTCGGTCTTGGACTTCCACAATTACATTAGGTAATGGATTTCCATCAATATCAAAAACTTGACCCTTCATACCTGCAAAACAAAAACAATGTTAAATGTATTCATAAATACCATAGTTTATGGCATATAGATATAAAACTCATTTAAGAAAAAAAGCTTATTAACTGTGGAGTTCTTAAAACTATTAGATAAGGGAAAGAATTTTTGATATAACAAATTACAGTCAAGCTAACAATTTGCTTTATAGCTTAAATTTGTTGACTATTCCATTTATAGCGCATATTATAAAAATGAGAATATACAAAGGACAGTCGAGGCTCCTTTCCTGTGATTTCCAAGTTGTTTACCTCATCAAAAAATGGTTCCACAATAATACCATTGGTGGATTCCACAACAGCCTCAATAGAAATGTCATCGTGTTAGTTTACAACAAGATTCTGATCTATGGAAGAAACTCAGTAGTTTTGTAAACTACATACCAAGCAAAATTGCAGTCTTGGGGTTGCTTGAAGATGGAGTTGACAGGTGGGGTCTTATTACTAATAACAGCAGGCAACACTTACCGAGCTCTCTGTATATCCTAGGCTCAATGCCAAGTGCTTAATGTGCATTGTTTCATTGACTCTTCACAAGAATTCTTGATGTGGGCGATGTCAGTATCATGATTTTATAGATGAGATCAGTAAGGCTCTGGATGACTCAACCTGACGACTAGAGTGGCACAGCCACAAGAGTAAACCCACCAGGGTCTCCAGATTCCACACTGAGCCCATCACACCATACCCTCTCACCCCAAGATTTTAGGAGAATTGAAAATTTTTCTCCTTTTATTAGTTGTAAGGCAGAAAGAGCAAGTGAGCTCCCATCTGCTGGTTCACCCTGCAACAGCCAGGCCAGTTTGAAGCCAGTAGCCTGGAAATGAGTCCAGGTCCCCCATGTGGATGGCAGAGACTCCAGTCCTGAGCCCTCACCTGCTGCCTGAGCAGGAAGCTGTATTGGAAGTAGAGGAGCCAGAATTCAAAGCAGACACTCCCATATGGGATGCAGGTATCTCAAGTTGGGGCAGAGCCACTGTGCCTGCCTGCTCCTCATGAGAATTTTTAGAAGGCCATTTCTATTTTGACTTTTTTATAACTTCATTTTAAACCGAAGTCTCACATTCCAGTTTGGTCACTACAGTGATGACTCATGTTATCTTAAGGTAAAGGCACCTAAGCTGAAGGACATAAATGAGAAAGAGGCCACAAGTGAGAAGACCTCAAACTGTCCTGAAACGGTTATGTAGTGTTAGAGAAGAATGTGAGGCAGACCTGTAGTTTCCACCTCCAAAGGTTAAAATGAAAAAAAGAAAAAAAAAAAAAAAGTTTGGTATTTAGCAGCAAAACATTTATCTGAATCACTATGCAAATTTGTCAGACCCAAGTTTGCCTTTATTTCCCCCTCACACTTTTTCAGTGCCAATCAACCATGTAAGCCTATATTTTCATGTAGTTTGTTCTTTTGCTGTTTTTAAATTCTGTAAAGCTCCATTTATAGTGTTGCTACTTTTCACCAGGAGTACCACCTCTGAGTCTTTGGGCAGTGCCCACTGTAAACTGATGGGAACGTGGAAACCCCATGCCTGCCTTCATGGGGTCTCAGAAGCACCCTTCTCTGAGGAGCTGTTTCCCCTGTGTCGTCCTTGGGTGGTGCTTTGGCAATCAGTGAACACAGCATGTGTCAAGCAGCATAGCTTGACACATTAGCAAGGTCTCAACTGGAATCCTTCGCCTTCCGTTCTCTTTCCTTCCAGTTTCAGTAGTTGTGGGCTTCAGCCTTTGGGGAGTAAACCAGCAGATCTAAGGTCTCTTTTACCCTCCCACCCCCTTTAAGATTTATTTATTTACTTGAAAGTCAAAGTTAAACAGAAGAGAGGCAGAGAGACAGGTCTTCCATCTGCTAGTTCACTCCCCAGTTGGCCGCAAAATGGCTGGGGCCAATCCAAAGTTAGGAGCTTCTTCCAGGTGTCCCACACAGGTGCAGGGGTCCAAGGTCTTGGGCCATCTTCTTCTGCTTTCCCAGGCCATAGCAGAGAGCTGGATGGGAAGTGGAGCAGCTGGGTCTCGCACCGGTGCCCATATGGGATGCCGGCACTGCAGGCAGCAGCTTTACCCGCTACTCCGCAATACCAGCCCCTCCCTTTCAAATAAATAAATCTAATATCCCCACTGCAAACTAACCTTCACTGACTGTCCTCTAAGTGAATTTCCATATGACCCTTACCCAAAGCTAGAGACAGTTCTTTAACTTTCAGAAGCCTGGGGTAGCAGAATCACTGTTCCTAGGCAAACACACACCATGCTTAAATATGGGATTTCTATTCAAGGGAAAACGCCATCCCACCAGCCAGACGAAAGCTTTCTTCAGCTGTCATGGTCCATGCACCAGCAAACCTTTCCTTAGAGGGAAGGAATTGTTTTTCCAGAAGATGTGACTTATTTCTGTACACCACGGGTGAAAGGCTGAACAAAGACCATCAGGCCCAAAGAGACGAGGAGAGAGCCAGCGCCACTCTACCCGGGAACACAAAAGTTGTGAACAAAGCTCAGACAGTAAACAAAGGAGAAGGTGTAAAACTCGAGACTTAAATTCTGCAGCTGCCTCTGGGGAGAAAAGTAAAGCTCTCCTTCCCCAAGACATAACTCAATTCACAAATGAAGACCCAGTGCCGGGCCAGGACTGGGACACTGCATCAGCTGGGCCACGCTTGGGGGACTGCTTGTTTATGCCTCTTTTCCTATCTATCTCAGTGGCCACCCATTCTGGATCTGCTGGCTGAGCCACATCTGTGTCCCATAGGCGCCTGGGACTCCGCACACCCTAGGTGTGGCCCAGCTTGCTCTTGAGGTCTTCAGGTTCAGAGCTGCTTTAAGGAGTCCAGGGTTGACAGCAGCAGCGACGCCATGTCTTAGCTCACCGTCGGTGACAATCAGGGTATCTGAGTCCCTTGCAGTTGAGCTTTGCCTGCCTTTGCAGGCTTGGCTTTCAGTCTGCAGCCGCCCTCACTCCCACTCAAACCTGGTAAACCCCCCAAGCACAAGAACATAGCACCAAGAGGCCTGAGGTTAGCTTGCAGTCTGCAGCGAGCTTCAACCCTGCTGGAGCCTTAAACAAGCCAGTCTGAGGCACGTGGATGGCTTACTCCCGATTTCCAGGGACTGACCTGGGCTTCAGACAAGGGCCTGCTCAGTAAAACAGCCTGGGCCCCACCTCAGGCCTCTCCTTCCCAGACAGGGCAGGGCAGAGACGTCTATAGACGTGTCAGCCTCAGCCACCCGGACGCATCCTGGCAAGTGGTGACGCTGCCCCAGTAAACGCAGAGCAGCCTGGCAGATCCGGGGGTTCCCAAAGCCAGAGCAGTAGCAAGAAAGGGCTGTTCGCCCTCTGCAGCCACAGACAAAAAGATTCTTTGACTCCTAATTGAGCACTAATGGGGAGAGAACCTTTCTATTAAATAACCACCCTGGATCAGTTTTTTGAAATCACATTTCATTAAACTAGAAAACAAAAAGCCTCCATTGTAAACCACAAGGGGGCAGGGTTGATGTGCTTATATATAATTATATTTCCAATCTTGTTCACATCTGATTACAAGGAGGAACAGATAAATATTCTTCATAAACTCAGTGCATTAGACCTATAATTCCTCCAAATTAGTAAGAGTTACGTAATTTGTATGTTATTTCCCAGTTTTTAAAGCTGCTCCATTGGCAGTATTCTTATCAATACCCTTCAAAGCCTGATTCAATTCAGTGGTTGGCAAATAACCTTTATAGCTAAATGGAAATTTTGAAAAGAAGAGTGTGGTTACATCAAGCATATTTCACGCTCAGTTGCACTCCTATTTTGATACTGATGAAGAATGAATTCTGGAAAAGAACAGGCAAGCGTAACACTAAAGGATCAGTAGAGGTAGAAATATAATAGAAATATTAAATTAATATGTGTCTCAACAGGAAAATCCAGTGCAGAATGAAATGCCAGAATACCGGCCGGCGCCATGGCTCAATAGGCTAATCCTCCGCCTTGCGGCGCTGGCACACCGGGTTCTAGTCCCGGTCGGGGTGCCGGATTCTGTCCCAGTTGCCTTTCTTCCAGGCCAGCTCTCTGCTATGGCCCGGGAGTGCAGTGGAGGATGGCCCAGGTGCTTGGGCCCTGCACCCCATGGGAGACCAGGAGAAGCACCTGGCTCCTGGCTTCAGATCAGCATGGTGCGCTGGCCACAGCGCGCCGGCCGCGGTGGCCATTGGAGTGTGAACCAACGGCAAAGGAAGAATTTGTCTCTCTCTCTCACTGTCCACTCTGCCTGTCAAAAACAAACAAACAGAATACCAAGCACAAGAGGATATAGTGAAGAAGGAGAAAAGCCCAATACTTAGGTTTATAAGCTTCGTTAAGATGCCGTGAATCAGATGACATTCCGCAAACCCCTGTTACAGGGAACCAACCCCCTGCGTGCCCGAGCCGGCCAGTCAGACCAGCCCAGTGCGCTCCCAGCAGTCCCTGCGCACCCCTGTTCAGGTCAGGACACGGAGCGGGGCTGTCGGTATGAAAGTGAGGGAGGGCGTTCGTTTTAGAGATGTGGTCAAGAGCAGGTGTTTACTGTCTCTGCTCTTGGTTCTCTGCCCGTGCACTCCCCTCCTTTGGCCTGCCTTAGTCTCCTTTTTAGCAGGTGGAAAGCTTTGGGGTGAAGCTTATGGAAAATTCTGAGATTTATACGATGATGCAGGAGACCCAGGCAGCAAACCTCTTCAACACACGCACACACCTTCCACCTTGGATCAATGCAGTGGCATAACTGTTCTGCCAGTTCCTGATATTCCTTCCTCCAGGCCATGCTGAATGAAGAAACATAACGCTGGCACGGCAGAAGAGTCCTCCACAAATGCTTGGAGAGCCACTGACTGCGGAACCAACGTGCCCTACGTGTGATTCCGTCGCTGTCACAGGTACTGCGTTTCTTCTGGTGCACGGTTTTCTAAGCACACACCTGGACCGGAATTATCAGCACCCTGGCATGATGTTCTCAGTTGGCGAGGCCTCGCTCTGACCCCCTGGAGATGGGGCTGCACCCTCTGGTGCGTCTGCCATACATGCTTGAAGAGCTACCCCTGGCTTCCCTCTTCCCGCTTGTCCATCTGCGATAAAGGCCAGCCAGCCTTCAGAAAACGGGCGGGGGAGATTCCCAGTGACAGGTCGTTTGCACCATTGAGGGGTGGGAGGGGTGGAAGCTAACGGGGCTAGGTCACCACCCCAGTTCTGCAAAAACTGGCGTCTGGGTCTGTGATAGTAGATGGGAAATGACAAGCAAAGCTGGCTTTTGTGTAAATGGGAGAAACTGCACCAGAGGACCCTCCTGTTTTCCTGCTCTTTTGCCAGATTCAAGGCCATTCAACATGTAAAGTCAGGTGTACCATGGACTTCTGTATCCCATATGTGTCACACTTGCTCTTGTAGGAGCAGGCGGGCACTGCGTTTCTTACACACTGCAGATACTCCTGCAGAGAGAATTCTTAACCGTTGTTCCTGGCACTGTAAATGAGACTGCACCTAGAAAACATCAGTGGCAGCTTGCACCTGCTCTAAGCAAAGGCCTTGCCAGATGCTGCATTTTGTGTTAAGGAATTAAAAAATTTTAACAAACCTAGGTGCACCTGTTTCATATATTCGATCAACGAGGCTTTGTTATAATTCCAGAAGGATGGCAGCTCCTCCTCAGGAGGGTATTTGCAGCACGACAGCTCCAGCGTAATTTCAAAGCACTGGGCCCAGATGTAGTTGTAATCTTGCATTCCGCCTAAACACAAGCACAGTTCATCTTTGTTAGGGTGTGTCACTGGAGGGGAGCCAGGCAAAAAGCACCTTGGGGACAAGTGAATGAGGCAGTCGCAGGGAAAGCACATGCAAACAGGAAGGGAGGAATTTGATATTGACATGTCAAATTAGGGCTTGACATTTTCTTATCCAGGCATGGCCAGGCAATCCTAAATGTTCCCATATGGGCCACTAGAGCGGTTGCTCGAAGTTCAACTGCTCATTAAAGTAGGGGTGGAGGAAGGGTCTGTTTTCTTCTGGTTTTTCAATTTTATATTACAAGAAAGTTCATAAAGTAATTTTTTCTGTACACTTTCAATTAACATAAGCTAGAAAGAGATTTCTTTAAAAATATTTCCATAAACTCTCTGTAGTACGTTTAGTATCAGAAGCCAAGTGCACTAATTTGGGGACACAGTAATGACCACCATGAAGCACTATTGCTAGGTGTTATTAAAAGTACTTATGTATCCATTCATTTATGCCACATGACAGTGATCCCTACTTTACAGGTTGGAAAATAACATCTGTGATTACAAGTGATTTCTGCCAGTGGATGGCAGAGACTAGAGTTCGGGCTGTCTCACCCAGGCCTATGCTCTCGCCCACAACACCCAAGTTCTCTGGGGATAAGAGCAAGGATGCCGGCTGACTCTCAGAGGTAAGAGATCTGGGGCCGGTGCCGTGGCTCAATAGGCTAATCCTCCGCCTAGTGGCGCCGGCACACTGGGTTCTAGTCCCGGTTGCCCCTCTTCTACTGCTTGCCCGGAAGTGCAGGCCCGGGAGTGCAGTGCAGGTGCTTGCCCCTGCACCGCATGGGAGACCATGAGAAAGCACCTGGCTTTCTGCTTCGGATCACCCGCAGTGCGCCAGCCGCAGTGGCCATTGGAGGGTGAACCAACGTTAAAGGAAGACCTTTCTCTCTGTCTCTCTCACTGTCCTCTCTGCCTGTCAAAAAAAAAAAAAAAAAAACAAAAAAACAAAAAAACAAAAAACTGGAATCTGCTGCATCTGAGCTTGCCGTTGCTTCTGCTCACTTCCCAGTTCTTCTCTCTGGAGACCCTATTTTCAGAGGGCTACAACCTTTTCATACTAAGATATGAAACTTTTCATAGCTGAGTATCTCTGAATTGAGATGTCTTTAGTGCAACTGAAGTGTGTGTGTGTGTGTGTGTGTGTGTTTTAATATTTCAGAGGGAGCTCCCATTTATTGGTTTATTCCCTAGGTGACTGCAGACTAGAAGCTGGGAACTCAATCTAGGACTCCCACATGGGTGGCAGATACCTGTAACTTAGCTGTCACTGCTGCCTCCCAGGGTGGAGTCAGGAATGGAGCCAGGGTATCAAACCATGGTTCTCCAGGGGGAATGTGGATGTTATAACCAGTTAGCCAAAGGCTTTTTTTTTTTTTTTAAGGTTTATTTATTTGAAATGCAGAGTTACAGAAGAGTAGAGAGGTGTTCCATCTGCTGGTTCACTCCCTAAATGGCCACAACAGCCTGAGCCAGGAGCTTTTTCCAGGTCTCCCACATGGGTGCAGGGGCCCAAGGACTTGGGCCATCTTCTGCTGTTTTCCCAGGCCATAGCAGAGAGCTGGATTGGAAGTGGAGCAGCAGGGAGTCGAACCAGCACTCATATGGGATGTTGGCACTGCAGGTGGCGGTTTTACCCACTATGCCACAGGGCTAGCTCTGGTACATTGTGTTTTATAATCACTGGCATCTAGGATATGAAAATATAGTAATTTTGAAGGAAGTAGTTTTTGATAGATTGCTTCATTTTATCTGCCCAGAGGTATGTATTCACAATTCCATCGGGGTTTTTGGAAAGTCCTGAATTACAAAGACTTTTTATTTGAAAGTCAGAGAGAGAGAGAGGTCTTCCATCTTCTGGTTCACGCCACAATAGCCACAGCTGGGCTGATCCAAACCCATGCCCATATGGGATGCCAGCATTGCAGGCAGTGGCTTAACTTGTTGCGCTCTGTCCTGGCCCCGAAAAAATTTTTTAAAGATTTATTTTTTTTTTTGAAAATCACAGTTACATAGGGAGGAGCCGCAGAGAGAGGTCTCTCACCCACTGGTTCACTCCTCAATTGGCCGCAATGGCCAGAGCTGCGCTGATCGGAAGCCAGGAGCTTCTTCTTGGGCCCCTGCACCTGCGTGGGAGACCCAGGACTTGGGCCATCTTCTGCTGCTTTCCCAGGGCATAGCAGAGAGCTGGATTGGAAGTGGAGCAGCCAGGTCTTGAACCGGTGCCCATATGGGATGCCCGCACTTCAGGCCAGGGCGTCAGCTTCCTGCGCCACAGCGCTAGCCCCATTGAAAAATTTTTAACAAGTGTTTTTATTTACTTGAAAGGCATGGGCTGGCAATGTAGCAGGTGGATTAAGCCACCACTTGCAATGCTGACATCCGATGTCAGTTTGGGTTGGAGTCTTAGAGTCCTGGCTGTTCGGCTTCCAGCCCAGCTCCCGGTTCTTGGGAAAGCAGCTGAAGATGGTCTAGTGCTTGAGACCCTGCCACCTGTGTGGGAGACCCAGGTGGAGTTCCAGGCTCCTGGCTTTGGCCTGGCCTTAGGAGTAAACTAGCAGACATAGGATTTCTGTCTCCTCTGGTGCTCTGCCTTTCTTTTAAGGTTTATTTATTGATTTGAAGGGACTCATACTTGAGCTATCATCTGCTGCTTCCCAGGATAGGTATTAACGGGGAGCTAGAACAGAAGTGGAGTAGGCAGCACACTGACATGGGATGTGGGTAGCACAGGTGGAGACTTAACTCACTGAACTACAGCACCCACCCCAGAAAGCTTTAATGCTAAGAAAATGGTTAGATAATATGTAAGTAACACCCTAGATGCAATATTTTATATACTAAGTAATATCTATGTGGGTTCAGAGTCCAGAGCGGATTCTTTCTCTGTCCTTCTGTTTAAGTCAAAGGAATGGGGCAAGAGAGAAGACAAAACAAAGTGGAGTTTGAGTGGTAGAACACGTGTGCATGAGGGACTCCTAGCAGGAATCTGGGGTTGAGAAGGCCAAGCATGGATGGGGTATGGTTCTGGGGAAAGCCAGTGGGCCTGGCCAGCAAGATATGCAAGGTGGACTCTGAATCTCCAAAGCCAGGGCCGGCTTTCTGTTTTCTTCCTGATGAGGGCACATATCTCACACAGAGGCAGGCACACTTGGGAATAACTCCCAGCAACCCCTGGCATTCCTAGCCAATTCCCTCCACACCAGATTGGTCTTGAAAGTTACCGCTGGTGACCCCATGGAAGACAGCACAGCACCCTTTCCTAGCTCTGAAGATGAAGCCCTTGGCGGGGCTGTAAAGGCTGAGGTGTTGGCTAGCTGCGCCTGCCAGTCATGGCCTGTGCTTATTTATGTTACCTGGAAAGTAACAGAGAGCCACCACACACACAAGTACAGCTTACAGGGTGGGCGCTGGGCCTAGCAGTTCCCATTTCAGAGTGCATGGTGTGAGTGCCAGCTCCGCCTCTGAGTACGGCTTCCTGACAGTGCTCACCCTGGGAGGCAGCAGTGAGGACTCAAGTAGTTCACCCCTGTGGAGACGTGGATGGATTTCCTGGCTCCCAGCTTCAGTCTGGCCCAGCGGTGGTTCTTGTGGCTGTTGAGGGAGTAAGCCTAGTGGATGGGAACTCTGTCTCTGTCACTCTGCCTCTCAAAAAGAATTTTTGAATATTTATTTAAGGAAATGGGTAAAACCTCCATCTGCAGTGCCAGCATCCTGTATGGACACCAGTTTGGGTTCTGGCTGCTCTACTTCCTATCCAGCTCCCTGCAAATGCAGCTGGGAAAGCAGTGGAGGATGGCCCAAGTCCTTGGGCTCTTGCACCCATGTGGGAGACCTGGAAGAAGCTCTTGGCTTCAGCCTGGCCCAGCCCTGGCCGTGGCAGCCATTTGGGGAGTGAACCAGTAGATGGAGGATCTCTCTGCCTTTCAAATAATTTTTTAAAAAGATTTAAAAAAACTTGAAAATAAAAGATTTATTTTTATTTATTTGAAAGGCAGAGAGATCCTCTATTCACTGGTTCACTCCCCAAATGGCCACAATAGCCAGGGCTGGGCCAGGCTGAAGCCAGGTGCTTCTTCCAGGTCTCCCATGTGGGTGCAGGGGCCATCTTCCAGTGCTTTTCTCAGGCCATTAGCCGGGAGCTGGATCGGAAGTGGAGTAGCCGGGACTCAAACTGGCGATGCAGGTAGAGGCTTAACCTTCTATGCCACAGTGCTGGCCCCCTCAAATAAATCTTAAGAAGATTTTTTTTAAGAGACCCAGCTTGTGGAAAACTACCTGATACCTACACATCCAAAGGGAAAACTGGGGAAGGCACCCTCGGAAGAGGCCTGTATCTTGCTGCAGGAAGAGCCCAGCTAACCAGGTGGAGGGGGATGCTATAGCGCTCCAGCCCGCTGCCCTGCTGCCTGCCCTAAACCCCAGCGGCTCCTGCTTCACTTTGCCTCCCCAGACTAGAAGGGGTTCTCTGTGACCTCGGGCTCCTGCTTACATAATTGTCTTCAAATAAGAACAGCCCTCCATGTTCCCCACACAGCAGCCTCACCTCCTCCCTCACCTGGCCGTCCTACTTGAGGGGAAGAAGGCTGGAGCCCCTCTCCCCATTTCCTGCATGGAGAGCCCTCTGGTTAGCCTGCAAGGTGGATTTAAAATCACGGCACTTCACGGGGACATCCAACTTCTTATACTAACCGGAGGCTCTGGCAATACTGGCTCCCTCCTGCAGCATGATACTTCGCTCAATCCACATCCCTTGGATGGGACATACGCAGCACATTGCTCCAAGCTTCTCACTGGTCCCTGTGGTACACTGTGCCTTTTCTAAGTCTCTTTATTCCAAGTGCACTGCTATCACATTTAGTTGCATGCCTAGCTCCTCTGTCAGACTTGAGGGCAAGTTCCGCCTCTTGTTCATCTTAGCACAGTTCCTGGCTCCTAGCAAGCATCTGAATGAATGGGCAGTGAGGAGCACATCCGAGCATCTCTCAAGCTATCAAGTTGCTGCCACTGCTCCTGTGGTATTGGCTGGTGGAGACATGATGGACAGGACTGCACTGTTCCCAAAGATCTTCTGACAACTGCTGGGTCAGCCTAACCAAGCTGGCACTTGCGGTGAAGGCAATAAGGAGGACGGAACGACTGACGAAACACTCACCGTGCAGTGGATACCAGGAGTATCCGTTGGTAACTCCGTTAGGAAAGTTCAGTTTGTTCTCACACTGATCTCCTTTCTTCATGTTGGGGTTTCTTGACGCATAGATATTTGCAAGATATTGAAAAACATCATCATCAGGAGTTACGCTTCGGGAGAGCAACGCCCCAGTTGCTGTATTTGAAAGACAAACCAACACCTATCCGTTGAGTAAGAGGAGACAACACCACACCACACACAGGCTCTAAGTTCCCCAGGGAAATCTTCACCCACTTGTATATGTGCCCCTGCTCTTTCTACTTGGTAACAATTGTAGACCAAGTCATTCAGGTGCACATTCAAACTTCTGCAAATGAAACATCCTCATTGTCACTCTTACTCATTTCTGGAGGTCAATAAACCTTGCTCAGGTACCACAGGGATTAGTTGAAGCCTCTGTGATACTTTATGGGATAAAGTGTGCACCAAGGGACTTAAAGTTTAAAGAGGGGTCAGCAGTTACTGCTCACACGGTTCTTTTCTGTTCGTCCGATTTCCTTTTGCGAATTGACCTAGTCTTACCCTTCCACTGGTGGATATCAGGCGTTGATTGCCGTCCGGCCACGCTGCCCCTCCACGGTTGAATGACAGGGAGCATGACGCCATGTGGGGGCAGTGAGAAAGCGTAGCAGGAAGCGGAGTCCCATCCTATTCAGGGCTTGCAGCCCTAGTCTGGAGCTGGGAAGCCAGGGTCAGACCCGTGTCTGCTTACCTGGAACGCCATTATCAAATGGGTAACTGGCCACCAGGGCACCGCCATGGAGGTTTGCGGAGAGGACAAATGTCTCGGTCTTCAGCCACTTCATGACGGCCACGGTTTCAGGCTGCCTCGAGACGTTATTGTATTCAAAAGCATCGGGGAAGTTTCGATTCAGGTCGTACTGGTTAAAGTTTTCCCTTTAAAAGAAAGATTTTTAATTTCTAGGTTTTATTTGTTGTGTAGGGGAATGGATTCTTGCAGGTCTGGGCTCCTCTTACTTTCACAACACAGGTGACTGCAGGTGTGGATGGTTGCCCTGGTGGCCTCCAATGCACCATACCTGGCACCGGCACCCTCCATCGTCCCCTCCCACGTACGTGACTTGCTCTCACCAGTGGGACCTTAGCTGTTGTGATGAGTAAGGGCTTGCATGTCAGGGCTTCTGCCCTTAGAACGCTCCCTTTTAGAACGCCGAGGCCACAAGGATAGCTCCCCGGTGACAGCCAGAACTGAGGCTCCAGGCACTTGGCCCCACGTCAGGAGCCCATGTCCCTGAGCCATCTCTGCCCAAATTCCTCACACACAGAACTGAGAACAAACAGAAAAGCTGCTCAAAAGTGTGTTTCAGTTAAGACTCAAATTCTTTTAAACAAATAATTAGAGTGGCAGAGAGAAAAGATCTTGCATCTGCTAGTTTCCTCCCCAACTATCTGCAATCGTCAGGGCTGGGCCAGGTGAAAAGCCAAGAGCCTGGAACTGAGTCCAGGTCTCCCACATGGTGGCAGGGCCCCAGTAGTTGAGCCATTCATTACCTGTTACCTCCCAGGGAATACATTAGTAGGCAGCTGGGAGTGGAAACAGAGTGGGGACTCAGACCCAGGTACTGCTATGGGATGCGGAGTCCCAAGTGGTGTTTTAACTGCTGTGCCACTTGTCGCCCCAAGGCTGTGGTTTTGAATCACTGCACTGTGTGACTGTTACACAGCATTCCCTAACACAAGAGTGACCAGGCTACTTTATACAAATGTTTCTGAAAAGTAGAGTGGCCACCTTTAAATATGCTAGAAAAGCTTAAAATTGAGGAGGATGCAGTGGTTCAATTTTATCTTTGGAGGAGCAAACAAATTTATAAGTTGCACAAATATAAGTGTACATTAGACAGCTGAGAAATTCCAGACTTCCCAAGGTGGCTTGTTTAAGTCAGAACTACTGCAGGGGCCGGCGCCATGGCTCACTAGGCTAATCCTCCGCCTTGCGGCACCGGCACCCCAGGTTCTAGTCCCGGCTGGGGCGCCGGATTCTGTCCTGGTTGCTCCTCTTCCAGGCCAGCTCTCTGCTATGGCCTGGGAAGGCAGTGGAGGATGGCCCAAGTGCTTGGGCCCTGCACCCCATGGGAGACCAGGAGGAAGCACCTGGCTCCTGCCTTCGGATCAGCACAGCGCACCGGCCGTAGTGGCCATTTGGGGGGTGAACCAACAGAAAAGAAAGGCCTTTCTCTCTATTTCTCTCACTGTCTAACTCTGCCTGTCAAAAAAAAACAAAAAAAAAAAAACAAAACAAAAAAAACCCAACCCAAACCACTACTGCAGGACAAACTTTGTGGCTCGTTCTTGGACTGCTGGCTTCACAAATGAACCAGTAACCATCATGGGCCTGGGGGCCTGGGGACTGTGCCGGGCACTGGGGATCTTAAAGCAGTGAATACAGTGGACTGGATTCCTGCCCTCAGGGAGCTTGCAGTTTAGAAGAGAGATTCAACAGGAAATCGGGCACTAAACATTGGACCCGAGTGTCCAGGGTCTACTCTAACAGGTGGGGGGCAGCAGGAGGGCATGCAGGGTCGGGGATGGCAGGTGTAACACACTTCAGGGGAGAGAGCACCTGGTAGTTCCAGGAGGTGAAGGGACCTGCGGGGCCCAAGCAGATGATGGAGGAGTGACCAAGGCAGCGAGGGAAGGCAGGCCCGGGGTCAAGCCGCCTTATCCAGGATGTCACATCTCCTCCTGCAAGCACCTGGCAGCCCTGGAGGACTTCAGCACATCAGTGACAAGGCACAGTCTCCGAGGCACTTGGCCATTATGTAACTCAGTTTTTTTTTTTTTTTTAATTAAAGATTGCTTATTTATTTCAAAGGCAAAGTTAGAGACAGAGAAATCTTTCATCTGCTGGTTCACTCCCCAAATGGCCACCATGGCCAGGCTGAAGCTAGGAGCCAGAAGCTGCTTCCAGGTCTCCCATGTGGGAGGCAGGGACCCAGGCACTTGGGCCATCTTCCACTGCTTTGCATAGGTCATTAGCAGGGAGCTGGGTCAGAAGTGGAGCAGCTTGGACTTGAACCAGCTCCTCCACAACTCCAGCCCCACCCGGTTACCTCTTGTCAGGGCCGAGGGGGTGCCTAAAGGGAGCCTTCATGTTTCATTTTTAAACAAAGGTCAGGTCCATCCTTACCTTCCATTGCTGTAAAAACAGTCGGGATTTTTGACGGCTTCGAATCCATCTGGGTTCATGGAAGGCATGATGTGTATCCGGGTGCTGTTGATGAGGTTTGTGATTTCAGGGTCTTTCCCGTGGTTGGTTACGAGATAGTCAATCAGATGGAGCAGCAGTTCCCGCCCAACAGTCTGTGTGGTTACAGAAAAGGAGAAGGGTGTCTGGCCATCGGGAGAACACGCCCCAAAGCACAGATTCCCCTGTGGGACCTCTCCACCTGGCCCAGACTCGTCTGCAGGACTCCTGCTGCCCAACCTGCTGGCATGCTGGCTACTGGCATTTTTTTTTTCCAGATTGAGTTATTTGAAAGAGATAGAGACAGAGACATTGCTGGCTCATTCCCAAAAAGGCCGAAACGGCTTGGAGTCGAGCTAAGACAGGAGCCAGAAGCTTCATCCTTGGGTCTCAGGAGTGTGGCAGGGGCCCAAGCACTTGGGCAACCTTTGACTGCTTTCTCAGGCCACAAGCGGAGAATGGATGGGAAGAGGAGCAGCCGGCACTGTGCCTCAGTAGGTTGATCATCTGCCTGCAGCACCAGCATCCCATATAGGCACTGGTTTGAGTCCCAGCTGCTCCACTTCTAATCCAGTTCCCTGCTAATATGCCTGGGAAAGCAGTAAAAGATGGCCCAAGTCCTTGGGCCCCTGAACCCATTTGGGAGAACTGGAAGAAGCTCCTGGCTTCGGATGGGCCCAGCTTCAGCCGTTGTGGCTATTTGGGGAGTGAACCAGGGGATGGAAAACCTTTCTGTCTCTCCCTCTTACTTTATATAACTCTACCTCTCATATAAATAATAAATTAAAAATCTAAAGAGGAAAAGTTAAAGGGATCATATGTAAATTGGGCTCCTTAAAAAATGAATTTGAGTAAAGATTTTTATTTGCTTGTTTTCTAAAATACTTTCTGGAATGATAAAGAGGTGGAGTCACAGATACAAGTGTTATGTTTCCATGGATGGCCTCGTAATGTATGACAGCCATCATGTATACCCACATTGGATCTCAGAGAACCCTGCATTGAACATCATAAATAAATAAAAATTTATTTTTGTTTTAATTACAAAAAAAAAAAATTTGAAAAGCACAGAGAGAGAGAGAGAGTTCCCATCTGTTGTGCTGGTTGACTGTGGCTGGGCCAGGTTGGAGCTGGGAGTTGGGAACTCAGTCCAGGTCTTCCAGGTGGGTGGCAGGAACCCAGGTACTTGAGCCATCATGAGTGACCTCCCCAGGGTGCACATTAACAAGAGGCTGGAGCTGGAAGCAGAGCCCGACTCACACCCAGGCACTCCCATACAGGATATGCCTGTCCCAAGTGGTATCTTGACTGCCGACCAAATACCTACCCCAGAACAGTATAGATTAATAGAGAAGGATCCAAGTTTGTGATAAACATAATTTAGATTCCTAATTTCTGTGTTTCTCTACCCCCAAATTTCCAAGTTCTGTTGGACATTTGTATAATTTTTGCCATATCTATATTTCTGGCTTCCACATTCTCATGTTTCTGAAACTTTAGTCATTTGCACTTCATGTTTTGTCATATCTATATTATCCATATACTATTTTTACTTTGATTTATTTAAATGGACTTTTTACTTACATTACAAATGAAGCTTTGGGGGCCAGCACTGTGGCACAGTGGGTTAAAGCCCCAGCCTGCAGTGCCATCATCCCCCATGGGCACCCGTTCGGGTCCCAGCTGCTCCACTTCTGATCCAGCTCCCTGCTAATGCACCTAAGGCAGGCAGTGGAGGATGGCCTTGGGCCCCTGTACCCACCTAGGAGGAGGTTCCTGGCTCCTGGTTCCGGATCAGCCCAGCTAAGGCCTTTGCAGCCATCTGGGGAGTGAACCAGTGGATGGAGCTCTCTCTCTATCTACCTCTCTGTCCCTAACTCTGTCTTTCAAATAAACTAAATTTTTTTGAATGAAGCTTTGTATCGTTAGCCCTTTGCTAGATATATATTTCTAATATACATTAAATAAAAGCATGACTATTACAATTTTTAAATTGTCATATTCACTTAGAATTATCTTATCACTAAGGAAACTGGAGGCCTGTGAGAGGGCTTACATTCCTCAAGAGTTTTGCCACTTTTCTTATTAAAATAGTTGGGGCCGGCGTTGGGGATTGGTAAAGCCGCCTCCTGCGATGCAGGTAAGTCCCAGCTGCTCCACTTCCAATCCAGCTCCCCGCTAATGGCCTGGGAAGAGCAGCAGCAAATGATCCAAATGCTTGGGCTCCTGCCACCCACGTAGGAGATCCACATGGAGCTCCTGGCTTCAGCCTGGCCCAGCCCTGGGTGTCACGGCCGTTTGGGAAGTGAACCAACAGATCTCTGTCCCTCCCTCTCCAGCTCTGCCTTTCAAATACATCTTTAAAAAAGTTACATTTTAGCTTTATGATAGGAAGACTTGATCAGACTTTATCAAGTTCTCCCTCTAATGCTAGCCTGCAGGACACTGCTAAGGGCTGGGAAGTGGGAAACCAGGGCAGCAGGGGGTGAACGGGCCCAGGGTCGCAGACACTGATGTGGGCTGCGAAGGAAGAGCTTTAGTGGGCCCTCAGCTGGCTCGGTTAGAGCTGCACTGCGGGAAGCCATCGCTGCGGCCCAGGATGAGCAGCCCTCGGTGACATTCCTCACCCTGTCCCCTCACTGGCACATAGAGGCCCCCGTTTATGAATCTGTTACCCCAATGAACACAGAATAATTGAAATCAGGCCTAAGAAAATTGGGGCTGTGTGACTTATGCAGTCACAGGTAGCCAGAAAATTCAGAGTGGAAACGAGTACAGTCAATTCTGACTCAAGCATTTTCCTACTCGTTTTTATCTTCCTCTTCCATTGGTCCCGATCTTCCTTTTTGACAGGTAAGATTGTCACGGCAAAAAATCCTTACATGCTAATAGCCAAAAAGCCATGCAAACCTCACACAGGGTGTCCACATTTAAGAGTACATTCTGGAAGATCTGACACTGGCTGCCCTGAAGTCAGAGAGGGAGGAGCTGGGACTCAAAATTGCGAAAGGCGACTTCACATGAGACAAGTGGCTGTTGTAAGGAGCTTTCTCAGAAGGGTGCAAGGAGAGAGGAAAGAAAAGAGAAAGTGACCGGGAATCTCTTGTGGTTCCTTATACTATTTATTGCTTGTTCACTCCCCCAGGGGCCTACAGCACCTAGGGCTAGGCCAGGCAGAAGTTTGGAGCTGGGAATTCAAACCAGGTCTTGCTGGTGTGCGCAGGAATTCAGTCACGTGAGCCGTTACCTCCATCTCCCAGGCTCTGCCTTAGCATGAAGCTGGAGACGGAGCTGGGAATGAAACCCAGCTGGGACCAGGGCAGCTCAACTGCCAGGCTGCACTAGCCTGCCCCGCAGCTCTAGACATTTCTAAGTGCTGACCAGAGACCACAGGATGATTTCATCAGGAAAACCTGGAGGCCCATTGAGTCTTAAGTAGCGGGTGGTGTGTGAGTGTCAGTTATAGAAACCCCTAGTGGTTCTGAATGTGAATTTCTTAACTCTAAATCACACATTCTCAAGCATGCAAGAACTCGGCACGTGAGTTAACAATGAAATTGAAATAGGGGTCAGCGCTCTGGTGTAGCGGGTGAAGCCGCCGCCTGCAGTGCTGGCATCCCACATGGGTGCCGGTTCGAGTCCTGGCTGCTCCACTTCCGATCCAGCTCTCTGCTATGGCCTGGGAAAGCAGAAGATGGCCCAAGTCCTTGGGCCCCTGCATCCAGGTGGGAGACCCGGAAAAAGCTCCATGTTCCTGACTTCGTATCAGCCCAGCTGTGGCTATTGCAGCCATCTGGAGAGTGAACCAGCGGATAAAAGACCTCTCTCTCAGCCTCTCTGTAACTCTGACTTTCAAATAAATCTTAAAAAAAAAGTTTATAATGAACAAACAAGCTGAGGTCAGGAAGAGAGAAGAGGAAGTGATTTTCAAAGTGTTAATTTTTCATAGCTAACTATTCAAAGCCTGGGGGGAAACAAGATACTATCAAAGGATGAAATATATTTAAGAATAACTACAGTTTCAAAATGGCTTCATTATCTTTTCAAAAAAGATTTACTTAAAAGGCAGAGTTACAGAGAAAAAGGGAGAGACAGATCTTCCATGTACTGGTTCACTCTCCAAATGGCCTCAACAGCTGGGGTTGGGCCAGGCCAAAGCCTGGAACTCCATCCAGGTCTCCCATGTGGGTGCAGAGGTTCAAGCACTTGAGCCATCTGCTGCTTTCCTGTGTGCATTAGCAGGGAGCTGGATTGGAAGTGGAGCAGCCAGGACTTGAACTGGCACTCATATGGAATGTGGGTATCCCAGAAGGTGGCTTAACCTGTTGCATGACATCAGCCCCTCTTAGTGTTCTTCACTGTTAGAAAGATCTTTTGATGATCAGTTTCTTATTTTGAAAAAACATTCATCAAGCTCACTGATTAGTTTTACCTTAGTTTTATTTTTCTGCTCAGAAATTGAAGTACAGTTAAGTTTCAGGCCTCCTATTTAAAGATAACACATACAGGGGCTGGCACTGTGGCACAGTGGATTAAGCCATTGCCTTTGGCTGGCATCCCATATCAGAGCCTCAGTGCAAGTCCTGGCTGCTCTGCTTCCAATCCAGCTCCCTGCTAATGCACTTAGGAAGGCAGATGATGGCCCAGGGACCTGGACCCCTGCCACCCATGTGGGAAACCAGACAGAGTTCTAAGCTCCTGGCTTCAGCCTGGCCTAGTCCCAACTGTTGTGGCCATCTGGCAAGTGAGTCAGCAGATAGAAGATCTCTGTCTCGCTCTCTGTTCCTCTGCCTTTCGAGTAAGTAAAAGTAACAACAACAAAAAAAAAGGGCGAGGGGAGGTGCTGTGCTGTGGTGCAGCAGTTAAGCCACTGCCTGCAATACCAGCATCCATATGGGCCCCTACACTCCACTTTGGATCCAGCTCCCAGCTAATGCACCTGGGAAAGTAGCAGAGGATGGCCCTGCACTCATGTGGGAGTCCTGGATGAAGCTCCTGGTTTCAGCCTAGGCTAGCTGCAGCCGTTGCAACCATCTGGGGGATGAACCAGTAGACAGAAGATCCCTCTCTTTGTCTCTCCCTGTCTCTGTAACTCTGCCTTTCTGTCATAAACAAT